ACACCTCGAGTCGCCTGTCGAGCACTTCCTGGCGCACCATACCGCCCGGTCGCTCTGAGGCCTCGTGAGCGAGTCGGTGCTCGACGAGCTCGTGCTGCGTCGTGAACCTGACGCCGCACGGCTCGTTCGGGAAATCGCGACGCGGGTGGAGACACACAAAGATTCTGCCATTGTTCACGGCGAACGTGATGCCGTACTTGAGGTATACGGGTGTGCGTTCCTTACACGTGGCGCACTTGTCCCGAAAGTGTTCAGCGCACACGTATTTCCCCGCTACACCAGAAGACACATAACACACAACACACAACACGTCGACTGTTAGGCAGAGAGCACGACACCAAACACCGAGAGGGCAGCAGGCAGTACTCTTCCAACGCCCGTCTGAGGAGGTGGTGGGCCTCGCCTGTCCGGCCTTCTTGTCTCCCGTCTGCCGAATCCTACGCCGCCTCTTGGGCTGCTCCTCCTCCTCCTCTTCGTCCTCTTGGCGCGCTTCATCGGCCGATCTTCTTGCTCGCTTCCCCTTGGCCTTCTCTTTTTCGTCCTTTTTCGTGTTCTTCTCTGCTGCCCTGCTCTTGCGCTCCTTGGTCTTCTTCTTCTTCTTGTCGCTGTCGCTATCGCTGTCTCGGCTCAGCTCGGCTATTTGCCCGGCCGAGGCCTGCTCGAGCTCGGAGACCTCAACTCGTTCGTAGCGCTCGTCCTCCGCTCTTTGCTCCACTCGTTGCCGTTTGGTGGGGGCGGCAGCGGTGGAGGTGACGGTGGCCTCTGCTGGCTTCCTCGCCTTCGTCTTGGTCGTGGCCACTGGCTCCGAGGCGGCGGCGGCGGCGTTGGGCAGCGGGTCCCTAGTCTTGGTCAGGAGTCGAGTCGCGGCTGCCCAAATTGAACGGATTGAATTAAAGCGTGATTCAATTATTTGATTCACAAGAGAGGGAGGGAAAGCAGGGACGTACAAGGCACGTGATAACTTATCGGAGACGAGGGGTCGGAAGAAGAGGAGGAGGCTTGCAGCTCATTGAAGAGCAGGTCGGCCTCCAGCAGCAACTTCTCCGTCGAATTGTGGTTGTAACTGGGCACTCGAAAGCGCCCCCTTGATGCAAATTCGGCAGGTGGCGGCAAGTGCACTTGCGGAGAAGGGGATTGAAGGTAGTAGCTGAGGGGCCGGATCAACGGGCCGCCCACACGACCGGGCTCATCCATCTTATCTTTCGGTTTTTTTGGTCTCTTTTCTCTCACCTTTTTCTTTTCTGTTTTGTTTCTATTTTTTTCTATTTTTAGTCCCCAAAAAAAAAGCACAACAGTGGTTCAGCCCCACTTCTTGGGTTGGCGACGGTACATGACTTCGGTACGCATGATGTACTTGACGTCGGAAGCGAGCCGTTCGCCTTCATGAACGATGTTGTGCTCAAACACCAGCGCCATGCCTGTGAGCGGTGTGACTGCATGCCTCTCCTTCGAGGAACACCGTGGCGCCTGCACGAGAGAGGTCAATCAAAGCTGTCTCGCAACTCCCCTATCTGGGAAGACCAGCCATTACCGCCGCCAAAGCCCTCGTTGAGGTAGAGCATGAACGTGAAGAGACTCCGCTCACTGGACGACGGCTTGTACGCCGCATCCACATGCGGTTCACAGTGTTGGCCAGGAGTGTACCTGCAGAGGGTAGTCACAAGCAGATCAGATTCGACAGACCACACGCACGACACACGACGGTGAGATGACAACGATGCCTGCAGAAGCGCCAGCGGTGGTTGAGCCCGACCACGCTCCAGGTCTGACCACTCTTGATGGCCACTTCCGGCACCAGGGCCTTGACGCGGGGCCAGATGGCGTCGGCCAGTTCGCG